TTTATTTGACTTTCCACCCATGCCCCAACTGATTGGGAATTGAAATACAGTAGTTAGTAACAGACTGTTGTTTAAGCATCAATAGCTTCAACATGAAAGTGCAACAGTCGGATGTACAAAATAATGTTAATCGTCTAAATGATGCACAATATACTGCTTATACTACAATCACTTCATCAATAATTGAAAATAAAGGAACTACTTTTTTCTTTAGTAGGGGTGCTGGCACGGGACAAACATTTATGTATAATACAATTGCTAACAAAATGCACAATTATGGATATATCGTTGTTAATGTGACTTCATTCGGTATTGCATCTTTATTATTAATGGGAGGCTGCACAACACATTCAACATTTTACATCCCACTGACTGTGCTTGAAAATTCGATTTATGGGTTTACCAAGCAACCGATGCATGCAGAATTGTTCAGATCAACTAAATTGATAATATGAGATGATGTTCCTATGCAGAATAGGTATTGTGTCAAGGCAATGGATCATACACTTCAGGATGTCTGTGATAACCAAAATCCATTTAAGAGTATCACTGTTGTTCTTGGAGAAGACTTTCGACAAATCTTGTCAGTTATACCAAAAGAAGTCCCTGAGCAAATTGTAGGTGTGTCATTGAGGTGATCTGTATTGTGGAGGAATGTACATGTTTTGACTTTGGGGTTAGACATGCGTTTGACTAACACAAATTCTGAAAATGCTGAATTTGCAAAATTCTTAATGGAGGTAATATTTAATTGATCATTTGTTATATACCATATTATTTGGAATTACTATTATTATTCCAATTCTCTTATTTTACTTCTAATTTTTAGATTGGAACCAATCCACAAGAAAATTGTGGAACTTCCATCAATAATTCACAAGTGTCATACTCTTCAAGAATTGATATTTAAAATCTATCCACATTTGGATATGGTTGGTTCAGTGATCCTGAACTTTCTAACCGAACACACAATTCTTTCTACAAAGAATGATGATGTTAATGCTATAAATGTTGTAACATTGAATATTTTCCCAGGACAAACAATTACATATTTAGTTGCTAACAAAATAGCCGACGGTGATGTACTTGATCAATCCATCACGAATCGATATCGTAATGAGCATTTAAACTCATTAGACCCTTCTGGGTTACCACCATTTAGGTTAGACTTGAAGGTGGGGTGGGTTGCCCAATAATGTTGTTGAAAAATATAGTATCAAAGGATGGGTTTTTGTAATGGCAAGTAATTGATGGTTATCAGATGTGCCACACGCGTAATTGAAGCTCATATTTTAACTAGAGATAAATTTGATAATGTGATATTCATTCCAAGAATATCTTTGTCACCAACATCTCTAGATTTGCCTTTTTAAATGACAAGACATCAATTTCTTGTTCGATTGACGTACGCTATGACAATCAACAAATCTTAAAGACAATCTGTAAATTTCATTGGGGTCAATCTGCGCATACCAATGTTTAGCCATAGACACCTGTATATGACACTATCTAGATACACATATTCTAATCGCATAAGTGTCCTTCTTCTTGAAGATGGTCGAATTACACAACGAATATCGTTTATTCCGAAGTTTTGTTATAGAACTTCTTATTCGATTGCAAATAAATGGTATCATTTTATTATAAATTTATCTCTATTGAAGATGGAGAATTAAAATAATTAATGATTTGATTAACTTTGTGATTTAATATTTGTAGGATTGGTGTGAAATGACAAGAGATATAAAAAGATTAAATAAAACTATACTGCATCAATGGAGACGTGATAATAAAGTAAACTAAGTCTTGCATTCTTACAACGTAATATATTATTTTTAGATGTAATCAATTCTACTAAGACTTATTTTATTCTTCTATTTTTATATAATTAGTTGGTTGTGCATTCTCTCAACTTGGTGTTTACCGTATGTATTGATACATACACGCTCAAGAAGGTGACGAAGAAAAAATACAATCACAAGCTACAAAGCTAAACCATTAGGTTAATGTTTATGAATAAGACACACTATTTTAATATTTTTTGAATTTAATTCATATGCATTGATTTATATTTGATATCTGCCTTCTTGGTTTAATTGTTGCATGTTTATGATTATCAAGAATAATAACAAGAACATTTTAATTATTCTATTTCTGTTATTGTTGTTGGTGTGTTGTTGTTATTATTCTTACAATATTAGATCACATGTGTTAGTAAAAAAAAATATATTTTATTATTGTAATATTGGTTAACTATTGCTAATTTTATTATTATCAATTTAATTTGTAACTTTTATATTATGTACCGATAAAATGGAACGCCCTCCTATCTATGTTCGTTGTAGTATGCGTTTGGCAGTATCAAGCATGGTAGATAAATTTGAAAATGATTCTTTTGAAGATGGAACCCCAATCTTGGAGTTTGGATTGAAAAAAATTAGATTAGGTCATACTGCAAAATGTAGGGAAAAACATAAGTGAAGATTATATTATACAAAAAATAGCAGAAACTCTTCCCACCACCTGGAATTCTGCAAAGGAAAATTTTTTTAATCACGACTGACCAACCTGTGCAATAAGATTTATACAATTATTAGCGAAAGTGGAGTGCAATATCCATATGTTGTGGATACAGTTTGAGATCGACAAAATGAACCCACAATCAAATGTCATTGACCATATATATATATATATAAAATAATTATTTTATGAATTAAAACAAAAAAGTTTCGATCTGAATAATCCAATTATGTTGTATGTTACTGTTAGCACGCTTCCATCTCTTTTGCCAATTGACTTCATTTCTACGAAGTTCAAGAATGACTTCCAAGATGTGATAGAATTGGAATATCTGTTAAAAGATATCGAAAATGACTTAATCTGTTTACGAGCATTAGAAGACGTGGAGGCTCAACTAAGAATCAATGAACATCAGAACCTATGACACGATACTTTTCAAGTAAATATGTTTTCTCAATCTTTTTATTATTTGAATGTGGATGAATTGAAAAAAATATTTGTATCTTTTTAGATAATGGAAAAACATTTAAATATAATTTTTTTTCAGGCTGTATTCATTTTTTTGGAAGCTAGTGAAATTTCAAATGACAAAACTTATTTTTTTGACAGTATTTGTGAACTTATTTTTATTATATAGATGATAACATTTGTGGACAATTTTTGTTTGAGATATTTATTACATGGGTGGATTGAGTTTATAATTATATTTTTTTATTAAATTGATTATGGTAATGGTGAAAAATATAAAAAAGATTTTATTGATTTTATTTATTACTTAAAAGTTGTAAATTTGATTTGGTTTTGTCAGTATTTTTTTTTTCTAATGTATTTGTATATGCAGTGTTGCTTTGGAGAATTTTTTGTTCATTTTTTACGAGTAATGCAGTGCTTTCAGGTACGGACAATTTATGTTATATTCTCTCTATTTTTTTAATTTTAAATTTAATAATAAAAAATATAAATTATTATTTAAAATATAAATATTATACAATCAATGTTTAATTTTAATATTACAAAATATATTCATACACGAGATTGTTACTAGTCCAATTATAATTGAGAATGAAAACAAAGGCTCTGTCAAGATAAAGTTCCTCGATATGAGTTTGGTCTTAATTATTTGTGTTATAAATGAATCGATTCATCAAAGTTATTAATGAAACGAACACAATTATATTCAACTATACTCACATATTTTACTATACACAACTATAAATTAATTAAATAAATTTTTGGATAACACGAATTCTTGTCAAATATATTACAACTCTTATTGGAAACGTGAGAATTGAAAAAAAAAAGACTAAAGCAATAAACGGACCGGTCAGGTTTAGTTATTAGATTGTTCGTACAAAGGAACCGGACAAAACTAGATACCTGTCCGGTTTCCTAATAAAATCTCTGAATCGGACGGTTTATATCACATGCTATAAATTGCAGGTTTTAGGGCATTTGCCCACATTTCATTTCATCTTTGCCCTCCGACGAGGCGACGACTGGCCCTCTCTCTCTCTCTCTCTGCGGTCGCTGCACTCAGCTCAGCACATCACTCGATTGAAGACTCGAAGTGCTCAGATTCTCAGATCAGATCTTCGACTCACACAGCAGATCTTCATCTTCTTCATCCTTCAGTCGACAATCTGAGGCACATCAGGTATTACGGTTCTCTCTCTCTGCTATTATATTATGTTATATGTAGTTTTTTTTTGGGTCAATTTCAGATTTAGTTGATTTTTTTTTGTATAAATTTTGGCCTATTTCAATTTTCACCATTTATCAGATTACCAATTTCAATAATCATGCAATTCATATGAAGGACCTTGACATCCCATGAATGTATTCATAATTTCATATACATTGATAATTTATAGGTGGCTTAGAGATTAATCAGAGAAGCATTGGAACTTTGGAAGAACTTACATAAATGCATCAAATGGCAAATGTCTACACTTAAGAGCAAATTATTGTACTTTTCATTTGAGTGTTTTATGTTTGTTAAAGATTGTAAACTTTTCACTTGTATACTGCGGTAAGAGCATAACTTTGAGGATTCTTGTTGTTCATTATATATATTTGAGTAGTACTGTTGTAAATTAGTTATTTGATAATAGAGGTAGTATTTGTATTTTCAAGTGGATTACAATTTACAATTATGCAATGGTTGGGTAATTTCTTTTGAGTTTTTTTTTATTTGAGTCCTTATGCGCGTGTGCTTCATTTTTTTTCATATGCCTTGCTTATGACAGTTTGAGTTTGAACTTTGAAGAGTGCAAATTGCATAGAGTATGCTTGGATTGATGCATAGTCGGAGACTTGGAGACTTGTACTTCAATAATAAATAGAAGGTGGATTAAATGTTGGGTTGTGACACTGAAAACCAATTGACTGGTTTCACAGTTGCACATCCTTGTCTTCTTAATAAACCAACTATCAATAGTTGCCAGTGTATGAACAAAGGGGTATAAATAAGTCCCTAAAAGTCACGATAAGGATTGCATTTCTCATCTTCTGCCGGTTAATCGGAAGGATTGGTCATGGAAGTTGAAATTTCAACTGACAAGCCCAGAGCTGCAGTAGAGCCTGAAACCACTGGATGAAAACTTGGGAATTGCTACTCTAAGTAAGATAGATTTAAGTAAATCAATGGCAACGTTATGAATGGGCAAGTTTGTCAAATGTTTACTTTCTGGTAATGGACTTTGTTGGAATTCTATACTGGTTCCATTCTTCCTTGCAATTATCTTTCCGTGCCTTTGCTTTTATAAAAGTGCTTTACTATTTATTTATTTCTTTAACCATGTCCTAACGTCTAAAAATATTTATGTTGCTAATTGTAACATCTAAAATATGTACAGTTTTTTTCCTTAGGCATGAACAGAGTGAAAAGAGTGAAATTCATAGATACTGAAGTTGATCATATTCTTAGTTCTAGTCCCGATGCTTCTTCCATACGATATGCAACAGCTCAGGTTCCAAGATGTAAGTATGTGTATTTTTTATTCCTTGCAATTTGCTCAAATATTTGTGGCTATAGTGCTTTTTTTGGCCTTAGTTATCGTTTTCGCCTTTGCCCTGGCTGTCACATTTTTTGCAGTTCCAAGTAATGCAGTATAATTACAGCTTGGTACTTGTATTTCAAATATTATATATCTGAAGCAAAAGTATAATGCAGCTGATGCCCCTAAAACTTCAGAATATGCATTCTTCTCAAAATTAAGGAAGAGCGCGGGTGGTAGTCATTCTCATCCATTGGGTAATGAGGACAACCAATTGAAGAGTGGCAAACCAAGTGACTGTAATGGAGGTATGTTGAGTTGTTAGTTTCTTTCTATTGTTCGATATCACTGTTTATTTTCTCCACTGAATCTATGTTTTATTGAATTTCCACCTGTACTGGATTTTACCAGCGAGATATTTATGCAGTGCAAGTTGGATTTACCGGGATCATAACATCATCTTGATTATTGACATATTGTGCAGCAATATCCAACAAGTTTAAACACAGCTCCAAGGACCTCAGGTCCTCGTTTCTAGCTGAAAAAGCAAGACCCACCAACGAAGACTCCTTCCTTGCATGTCTTAATGGTGAATCAAAGAAAGCAACTGGTAATATCCTGATGGCATTGATAGGTTCTGAATAATGCAGGCAGACTTCTCTACTGCGCTGTTTGTCTTTCCTTGCATTAGTATTTAGTACTAAAATATGCAGATATAGCTGACAAGGTCAAGCGTAGCTTCAAGGACTTCAGTTCCCCATTGCTCACAGAAAATGTCACACCCATTAATCACAATTTGTTCCCCTCAGCACATGGTGGTGCATTGAAGAACGCAGGTATTCAGTGATTGGGGATTTTAGATTCTCTTAAGATATATTTTGAGTACTAAGCTAGTATTTCTCCCCTTCTGTGGTTCAACATGAGCACTTTTGAAGGAAAGAGAATGAGATGCAACAACTATTATACATTTCCTCAATCTAATTCATCCATCCTTCTTATTAAAAAGTAAACTTTCTTCGGTAAATGGAACTTATACAATCTCCTATGGATTTGTGAACTTTCCTGGTGTAATAATTCCATTATGTCCAAAATGGACCATTTTCAAAAACGGTTTAATGATTGGAACACATATCTAGCATCAATGCATGCATGCATGCAACATTCCTTTATGCTGACCATGCGAAGGCATTGTGTAGTGGAACACAACTGAGGTCTTCCAAATATTTTCAGGCAACTGGTCTGAGAAAGGAGTCTTTTTTGCAAAGAGGCAGAAGTTACGTCAGGGGGTTTCTGATACCTCCTTGCCTGAGGTTGACGAACTCTGTTCTAAGGGGTTAGATGCATCACCTTTTTAGAATTCTTAAGTAACATTTATAAGTATTATCTTGGATTCAATTAAGACTTTTCTCTCAGGTTAGATTTGGTTTCTGTGCTCCTTAGTCGACTGCTCCCTGAGGGCAATGAAAACAATGTATGATCTTTCATCTTCTGTTTGTTGACTCTAAATTTTTTTTGTCCCTTGGTTATGCTGAATAATTTTTCCTTACTGGCTAATTTTTCCTAGCAGTATTGCAGGAATCCAAAGTCAAAGCAAGAGGACAGTGATACCACAAATCAGATAGATAATTTGTATGAGTCGGACAATCTAGTCAAAGGACTTGATTGTACTCATACAAAAAACTTTAATGAATACCGACATGGGTCCTTTCAGGATGATGTTTTTCCCAGATATTGGTCCGACATAGCCAGAGAGAGTGTCCTCACAGAATTGGATGGGGTAGATTCAGACTCTCCCTCAGCCAGCTATGGCAAAATTCATTTTCCATACGAAGAGAGGAATTATGATCGTGATTTAGATGGCAGGAGAACTTCTACTTTGTGCAAAAATAGAGATTCATCTTTTTGCTTATCATTTGGAAATTATGGATCTCATGAATTGAGTCATCCCAAAGTGATGAATGAATTCCGTGAGTTGAATGGTGCTGCACTTGAAAGAGATCCACATACTCTTTTTCTGGGTTGGGACTTTGAAAAGGAGAAGAATGAAAGAGAGTTATCCCTTGCCTATCACAATAGAGAAATAAACTTGTATTCCACATTGCTGGCTTCATGGGATGATGACCACCAGGAGAATCTGTTTGACAGACTTGATGCAAGTCCACCGTGTTCGGCATCCTTATTTTCCAAATATCCTATGAACTTTTCTTCATTGCCACATCTCTATTCAGTCAGGTTTCCCCGTCAGGAGTTTAGAAGCCAACATGAAGACCAGAAGCATGTATTTGTAGAAATGGATCAGTTCCCGTTAACCATATCATGTAACCCACCATATCCTAAGCTGGTGGAAGATTGCAATGCTAACAATATATTTGAGAGTAAGAGCATTATCCTCTCGCCTCAAAATCACTCATTGTTTCCAAGCAATTTTTACAGTGAAAAGTATTATCCTGGTTTGGAAGCCATCCTGCTTCCCTCCGGAATGGATATTGATTTCCGATGGAGATGCTTATCCATGACTGAGTCTCCTACAAATCATCATTCATCAACTTATGGTGCTTCATTTCCACAAAAGGCAGGCATAAGCATGAATTCACAGCTTCTTGCCGAGGAGAAAAAAGAAAGTAGCCTGCATAGCTTGAATCCCAGTAAAACCACTACTCATTTCTTGGAAGGTACTCTAAACACTCATGACTGGTCCTCTGTTAATTTCCAGATATGTCTTGACAAGAAGATAGGTCACCCTTTGCTTCTTGACAACTCAAGTTGGGCCAGATCTGAAGAAGAGATATACTATGATGATGATGAGGAATGGGAATATATTTGAAGCTTCACTTCTAAATTTGGCATGTCCTTCCGCTTTAATTAAAACACTTACGAGGACAGTGGCAATGCTTTTCATCTCCTTAAGGTAAATGACTCTTGATAGCTGCATTGCTTGCTGAAATGTTGAATGTTGTGAAGACTTAAGGCGGACTGAATGCTTAAATGGTGCAGGGTTGTACTGCATATAATTACCCTACAGCCTTTTGTGTTCATGATATGCTCGGGGCCTGTATAATGCTCAGCCAACAATGAACTCCACATAGCTTTGTGATTGGAAAATTTTGTGCTAGTAATGGTATCATGTAAGTGCCTAGCTATAGGATGGTGCAATTATGAGATCAAATATGATTTTTCACCCATGGAAGATATGAAATGAGGGCAACATTTGTGGAAAGTTAAGACAGCTTACCCACGTCTCATTCAAACGTTTGTATCACCTGCATATGCATCAGCTCACCAGATATAATCTGTGTCTGAAATTTTTTCAGACATGTAAAAGGAAATTTCAGTCTGTTGTTTCTGCCCACATGTACCAGATTTTTTATGGCATTAGCATTGTTGGTTATTTCTCTGATATAATTGTTGGCAGTATCTTTTCCCGCCTCTGGTTATTTGAAACTTTCTTTCTCTGCTATTCAAGTTCTTATCTCTATTGCACTTTAAAGTGCTTGTAGTTTATTCGGATTGCAGAGCGTTGGATTTTATAGTTTCTGGTGTTGGTTCTTCATGGGTGGTTTAATGCGTTTTATGTTTTTAAAATATTAATGCTATGTTGTGCTGTCTTGGTGCAACTTTATGGTATTGCTCAAACAGAACTCTTCAATTTCTGAACTTGGTCTTTTGTTGGTGGTTCATTATGTGTTATTCTTGCAATATCGTCCTGGAAACTTAGAATTGGTGCTGCTATGACTGTTCCTCTTGTGTGTGTTGGTCATTGCTGCGTCTTTTTATTGTGTAAAAAGGGGAAGAGGGGGGAGAGGGTTTGCTTTTTCCTCAAGTCCTGTCATGATCTGGCACTGGATGAATGGTTTTTACAAGCGGCATTACCCTTCACTCATTATCGCTGGATTGAGCTTTTGTCCATTTTTTAAGATTCCCATTGCTGCTCCCCCCACGGGTGTCGATGCCGTGTCGCACTTCCGACTGATCATTTGAAAAGATCAGCTAAGTATCGTTGGCTTGGTCAAGAGCCTGTTTTGCATTTTGCCCTGCTCCTAATAAAAAACATTCAATTTGAATGTGTTAAGCATATAACTAGTGTTCTTTTCAACATATTATTTCTAAAAACTGCCGTGTTTTGGCTGGATATTGCTCCAGCATACTACAAGGATCCCGTATCCAACAACTCAATTTATATAAAGGGCATTTAAAACATAACTATCTGCCTAGAAATATAGAAGACAAATAGTATTAGAGCAATGTTATGCAATCTAAATCTGAGATCCAAAATGATATTTCAAATCAATAAGAATCATTGGTTTAATAGGTTTCATTTAAAAAAGTTGGTGGGATTCACTTATCCAATGGTCCTTATTCATTGGAATTCTATTTGGGATCCAAATTTGGGTTCCATAACATTTTTCATAGTATTATTAGTTTCTCTAATTTTATTATTGCCCAGAAATCTACATTTTAGTATAACCAGTGTCTCTAACTTCTTTCGTTGTAGTGCATCTCCGTAGGCATTTGGTATACAATGTAAACTCAATAATTGTGGATTTGTTTCTTTAAGGGAAAATTTTAACCACACCCCCTGTAATTTACCATATCTTCAAGGACACCCCCTCTAATTTCTGAATCTTCAATAGCACCCCCTGTCAGATTAAAAATATTAAGTAGAATGCAATTTTAAATTGCCCATGATATATTTGAGGACAAACTTTATTCATCCCCCTCTAGATAAACATATCTTCAATGAAACCCCCTCTAGATAAGTATATTTTCAATGAGACCCCCCTATTTTCTAATTTTTTTTACTTAATTAAATTTAAATTGATTAAAATTCGATTCAAACTAATAAAAATTTATTTTTTTACATATTAAAATTTGTGTCAATTAAAAATTATATATTATATTTTAATTAATTTACATTGAATTTTAATATATAAAAATATATGAATTTTAATTGATTTAAATTGTAATAAATCTAATTTTAATTGACACAAATTTTAATAAGAAAAAAATATAAATTATAATCGATTCGAAAGAGAATTTTAATCGACCCTAACAACTCAGATAGAGTTCAAATCAGCTCAAATTTTAATAGGCACGATTTTTTTAAAAAAATTTACTCATTAGTAAATAAAAAAATTAGTATTTACTAACAAATTACTTACTAAAATTTTTATTTATGATTTTTTTTAAAATTTTAACAACTCGAATTTTAATAAAATTTTATGTAAAAAAATTACTTGAGGTTATGTAGGGTCATTTTTGGTATTTTAGATGAATTTATTTTGCTAAAAATAATAGTTTAATGGTATGGGGTGTTAGTGATGTTTAAATTAAACTAGAAGGGATGTCATTGAAGATTCAGAAACTAGATGAGGTGTCCTTGAAGATATGATAAACTACAGGGGGTGTTATTGAAATTTTTCCTTTTTTTAATTATTCTATCAGCTTTTACACTTTTATTATTTCATATTTGCAGTGGTTTAGACCTTTTTTCTCAATATGGTGTGATTTGAATTCACGTTTTCAATGTAAAATATATTTATGGAACGAGTAATACTAGTTAGACCTAAAAATTTGATTTAATTTGCTGACATAATGATATAGTTTCATATGAATCATTAGATTAATACCAAGTTCTAATGTTTGATAAGGTTTACAATAAAAATGTCACAATAAATTATGTCAATAAATTAGGTCCTAATAGCATTGCTCGAAATGAAATATGCTTTTATGGTTTTTTATGGAAGTGTTTTACAAACATTTTTTACATTGAAAAAATTAGTTGGAACCATATTTTTTTTATGTAAAAAGTAATAAATAAAAATTAAATTCGGTATATATATATATATATATATAAAATAAAGTTAAAAAAATATAATTTAGTATATAATTCCCAATGTACGTCTTTTTTAATATTTTTTGTAGGTCATCCTGAATAAAAATCTCAAAATGGACCTGGTTTTTGAGCGGCGGCTACGTGATGGACCACATGATTTAGCTGTGGCATTGAGCCCTGCACATTAATGGTTCGTTTGGCACGAGTTAAAATAAGATGAATGAAAAATAGAATGAGCGAAAAATAGAATAAAAAATATAATTTATTTTTGTTTAGTTAGAAAGGAGAAATAGAGGAAAGAGCAATTCATCGTCCATCATTTTTGATTGCTCAGTTTTTGGGCGGAAATTGGCAATAATGCTCGACAAGTTCGTTAAGTAGATCTCGTAGCTTTTATAATGGTTAATTATCATTTACCCTAAAGGAACTCGTATCTTAATAGATTATTCATATTCTATTAAGGGTATTTTGATATTTCATTAGTAATAATATTTTATTATTTTTTCATACTAAATAAAATAATAAAAAACTATTTTTTTCATTTTGTCATCTTTCTTACCCAACACAAAAGATGGAAAACCTCTTTCCTTTCTTCAAGACTGAAAAATTTATTCTTTCTATTTTTTTATTCCTCCAATTTTTCATCCCTCTTACCAAACAAAACATAAAAATTGCCTAATTTTTGTGATATACTAAAAATTTATTTCTTCAATCTTTTTAAATAATAATAATAGTAATAAATGTACACATGTCAAATTGTTAGTATTAAATAAAAAAAATTACTTTCTGATACCATAGTTAGTTACACCGGAAAACGTGAGTTGTTGTGATGTGTGGGGAGAATGTGGACAAAAAGAGAAGTATAGCTGGCACGAGCCCCACTCGTGATCCCTTACATCATAGCTGTGGGTGGTCCCATTAGCCCCGTCGGCCGATCCAATAAGTAATAGTGACGTCATTTGTCGGGCAATCGATCTCCATTCATTGGTTTCACTGTTCTAACGAATCTTTAATGAATTTAATGAATTTTTTTTTTATTTTAAGTGATGTGAAATAATTTTTACTATCAAATATTAATAAAATTTATTTATTTGATGATAACAACTTTGTTACATCACTTGAGATTAATAACTTAATAAAATTATTTGGTGAACATAACAATATTATTTTATCATATTATATTTTCTTTCCAAAATCTCGACCCGAGTTTGGATAGGAACTCTATCCGGTTAATGCCTTCTAAATTTGTACTTTTTTTTGGATTAAACATTAATCACTTACTCTAAATTTGTACTTGTTGGTGTTGTGTTCAACTTCTTTTTTTTTTTTTTCTGTAATAATGTGATTTAAAAAAATAAATTGCGAGTTTTGATATAAATTATTTCGTCACTATCAGAAAAGCTATGCTTTTCAAATTTATAATTTCAAATGATTTGGTTGACTTTTATCCGTTCAATATTCTTCTACCCTTTATTGGTTGGGGGCGATAATATCAGCTCATTGGAGAAAAAAAATTGGACAAAAAACTTGGATAGCATAGTAAGGTTGGGTAACCACTTATCAAACACCCCCCCCCCCCCCCCCCCAAAAAAAAAAAAAAAAAAACATTGGACTCCTATATCTGCAATTATGTATATTTATATTTATACTGTTTATAAATATCAGTATTTACAAAAAAAAATTAATTTTTTATTTTATCCCTAAGGGTAAATTACACTCACATCCCCTGACATTTAGTTTTATTACACGGACACTCCCTCGAGTTTCAAAAATTACACTAAGACCCAATAGTTAGATGGAGTAGACGGTCTTGATAAAAAGACCATCTCCCCCTCATTTTAACACAAACTCAAACCCAAACCCAAACCCTCGTCGTCTTCTCTGCACCCAGCGCCATTAATACCTTCCCTCTATACCCAGTGCCATTAATGTATTCTCTGCACCTAGTGCCATTAACGCCTTCGTTGTCACCAGTGAAAATTGCTAACCCCTCCCCCACCACTGCAACACCCTCCAGTAGCCACCTCCATCCAAATATGAGAAATTGAAAGGATTCGATGCGCAGATCTGATGTGAAGATCTGAGAAATCAAAAAGGATCTGAAGCTTAAAAAATATGCCTGTATGATTTTGGGGTTCAATTTTAACAGTAGTTGTTGGGTTATGTGTGTGGTGTGGTTGAGGAGGTAGAAATGGAGATGTTGGAGAAGAACGTGGTGGGGTTGCTGGATTGTGGTGGTTGTGGAGGTGAAAATGAGGATGTAGGTGGTGGACCGGTGATAGGGTTACTCCATTACCGGTGGTAGTGCTCTGTGTATGAAAGAGAGAGAGATGAAGTATAAATATGAGGAAGCTGAATTCGTTTCGCAAATCTGAGGAAGCCGAATTCGTTTCGTAGATCTGAGGAAGTCGGATTCGATTCGCAGAAGGTGGAGGTGGTGGACCGGTGATGGGGTTACTCCTTTACTGGGCAGTGATTCTCAAAGAGAGAGAGAGAGAGAGAGAGAGAGAGAGAGAGAGAGAGAGAGAGAGATGGTGGTGGTGATTTTCGGTGAAGTATTATGGTGGTTTCCGTGGAGTGTAGGCGATAGT